AATAAAGCGAGGGTCAGAAGACGCGCTTGTTTCTAGCCCTCTTAGTTATTTTTTCCAGGGTCATACACAGAGAGATTTCTTTCTGTTTCATTTTCACTGGCCTGTGTCTTTTTCAGAGAAAGCCACACCATATATCACACATATATGTGCAGGTGTCATACGGTGTGTGTACATCTGCGAGCGTGCCAGGCGCTCATTGGCTTGTATGTTCAGGGGTGAGGACTGTCATTAAACTGTCTGCCTGCATCAACACACTCAACCATCACCCTGCCTGGCTGTCCTTTCCACCTCTCAGTGGACACACACACACACACACACACACACACACACACACACACACACACACACACACACACACACACACACACACACACACACACACACACACACACACACACACTCTCTCTCTCTCTCTCTACAACAACGACACACACACACAACAACACACACACACACACACACTCTCTCTCTCACACAACACACACACACACAACAACACAACAACACACACACACTACTCTCTCTCTCTAACAACACGACACACACACACACACACACACACACACACACACACACACACACACACACACACACACACACACACCCAAAGCATACAATATGTCTCGTCGAACATCTGATACAAGATTTGAACGACGGACATTAATATTGATATTTTGATATTAAAGCTGCAGGGCCTGTATTTTGTTCGTTTCATAGACAGTGTTCTTACATACATTGAAACAGTTCACCTGAAAAGAGATTCTTAGAGCAAATACATGGACAGCTCAGGGGGTCCCAACCCACCAGCATAAGAATGACTGGTGTTACCGTAATGCAGGATGGACTTGGTTTTAATAAGCAATCCCTAGTGATGTATAAACAAATATAATAACAATAATGAACTAAATAATCAAAATCGAAATCTTGGCAATAAGGTATAGAAAAGATGATGTCTAATGTCACCAAAGGCCGATATTAGGCAAACACCAGCCCACTCCCGTGTCCTTCCTTGATGCTGAAGTACTCTCACAGCCTCTCACACAACAAACCCGTCACATAGTCCTCGTCTGATGTCGTCCGACTCTGCTCCTCGCTCACGTTCAGGCAGGCTGTGGTAATGGGGAATTAGTATGCAGAGAAGCAGACGGACAGCTCTGTGGATCTAATAGGTGGCCAGACTGGAGAAGAAGACTGGAGCGGGGGGGGGGGAGCATCTCTGGTAGAGAGGGAGTTAAGCATGGCCTCTCCCTCTCTTCTCCTCCTCCCGTCCTCCCTCTCCCCTTCACCGCCTCGTTCCCCATGCCCTGTCCCGAACCTTAATGGGACGCAGACGGACAGCCTTGCCTGAATTGAGCAGAGAGAGCAGCAGCATCCCCAACCCCCTTGTTGTCTCTCTAAAAAAAAAAGATAGACTCCCCCATCCCCCCTCCCCTCCCCCAATGCGCTCACACAGCTAGCACCCATAGCTGCTCCCCTTGGTTCTCAGGGCTATTGAGGGGGTCCCAGACACCCTCCACTCCTCAGCCTAACTCTGCATAAATTAGGCCCATCTCCCTGGTGTCTCGTCAGCCGGTCGGGGCACCCCCGGCCCCGGGTCCACCGTCTCCCAATCTGCTGCTCCTTCTCCCCTCATGCTGTCACCTTCTGTCTCCCTCCTCCTCCCCCATCTACTGTATTCTATCAACCCCTCGACTTATTCCAACCTGACGTCCTCAAGCTAACAGAGCTCCTTTCTTTACATCTCACACCCATTCCTCCAAAATATCTTCCTTCTCTTTTTCACCAATCCTCCACTTCCTCTTCTTAATTTGACCCTCTAGACTCACTCTCTCTCTCTCTCTCTCACTTTACCTGCTTTATATTCTCCACATTTCATCTCTATCTATCTCTACTTTTCTTATCCTTCCAGCAAAGTGTTACTCAGATCAACCAAGCTCTCTCCTCTGTTCTCCTTTACAGCCAGGATATTGTTTACATCTGTCTTGCTAATCACTGGCAGAGCCTCTCTAGACCTCACAGATGTTGCAATAATACCCGGGATTAGCAGGCTTAACACTGGGGCTTATTTGGGGAGTTTTCCCGATGGCCTGGCAGTGAAGCCCGTCAGCTTCTCTGAATTTGACCTTTTTTCTTCCTGCAGTCTCGCTTCTCTTTGATTTGCGTTTTTTTTTTATACAAGCGTCTGGCATGCTGATGTTGCTTTATCAGGTTTGGTGCTCTGGTCTCTCTCTTCCTCCAGCTAGCTACATCAGTGCTGAGGTTAAATGCAATTAGCAGCTTGACATATAAAAGGGAGATTTAGCAACAAACAAAGCTCTTGTTAGCTGCTCTTTCACCCGGTGCAACAACACCACGATGTAGCTAGCTAACTCTGTGTTAGCTGCTTCCTCTGCTCTCTCCATGGTGACGCTGGAGTCTCCCCAGTCTCCCCTTTTAACTCGTAGCTGAAAGATAATTAGATGGCCTTCTGAGACTCAGCATCTCTGCTGCTTCTCTCTGCGTCATGCACTGCGACCGTCCTGTTTTATGACCAAGCAGGTGTGTGTGTGTGTGTGTGTGTGTGTGTGTGTGTGTGTGTGTGTGTGTGTGTGTGTGTGTGTGTGTGTGTGTGTGTGTGTGTGTGTGTGTGTGTGTGTGTGCGTGCGTGTGTGGCGTCAGCTGCTCATTTTAATGACATTTTTAAAGTGAACTTCTAGCTTCCGTTCGCCTCAGGTCTGAGCAAGCACTTCCTGGTTATGCAGAGCAGGGGGTTTCCATGGCTATCAATCAGCCAATGGCGGCGCAGCTCCTCAGTGCAGTGTGCTGAGAGCGGGGGTCTCTGGGGCAGCCTGTCTTTTTAAACAAGGCCAGACACTTCACAGACAGGGAGAGGGCCAATTAATTCTGCCGGGGGCAACACTCCTAGGTTAGCATTTGCTTATAGTGATAAATTGGCGCTTTGTATCCACGGTAAACTACCTAGGCTCCCTGCTTTTGGCTGGCTTGGCAGGTCCAGGAGTGATGTCATGAGGTTCAGGCTGATTAGTCGGGGTGTGCCTCATCCTTTTTTCACGGGGTCACTGCACTACTGTCTGTGTGAAATTAATTAAAAGCTGGCTGGGGTTAGTGTCCGTGCTAATTCATGCTAGTCGCTAACATCTGCTGCGGAGAAAAAAAACGAGGGAGCACGGGAGTGGGGGCAGAGAGGAAAAGAAACCTTGACATTTACAATATAGTGAGCTGAATGGAAGTATGCAATTGTCATTTTGTATCATATTTTTAAGAGTCAGCTAAATAACAATAAAAAAGGCAGTTTCCCCAGTGAAACTCGATGACATCTGTGATAATAATAATAACCATATCGGCATGTAAACATCTTCATCCCCCCATAGAGATCAGTGCCATCGAAAATACTTCTGACCCTCA